GTCAAAATGGCGTGAAATTAGCCTCGGAGACTCGAAGTCGAAGTTGGACCATGGAGCCATTCGGTTGGTTGGTGGAGGTTCGGGTCTCGTTGGCCACTGCTTTTGAGCTCGGTCGCAAGCTCCTCATTCCGCTACATACCATCATGGCCGACAAGAAGCTCCGCAAGAAGGAGAAGGAAGCGACGGACCTCATCGCGCCCGAGACGTCGACGCCCAAGCTCGACACGTCCAAGTGGCCGCTCCTGCTCAAGAACTACTCGGACCTCAACGTGCGCACGGGCCACTACACGCCGATCCCGAGCGGCTCGACGCCGTTGAAGCGCAACATCCACGACTACATTCGCTATGGTGTCATCAACCTTGACAAGCCCGCGAACCCGTCGTCGCACGAAGTCGTGGCTTGGATCCGCCGCATCCTCCGCGTCGAGAAAACCGGCCACTCGGGCACGCTCGATCCCAAGGTCACGGGCTGCCTCATCGTATGCGTCGACCGCGCGACCCGCCTCGTCAAGTCGCAGCAGGGCGCCGGTAAGGAGTACGTGGCCATTGTCCGCCTCCACAGCGCGATCGAGTCGCAGGCCACGATGGCGCGCGCCATCGAGACGCTCACGGGTGCGCTCTTCCAGCGCCCGCCGCTCATTTCGGCTGTGAAGCGCCAGCTCCGTATCCGTACCATCTACTCGTCCAAGCTCATCGAGTACGACAACGAACGCCACCTCGGTGTGTTCCACGTCAGCTGCGAAGCCGGCACGTACATCCGTACGCTCTGCGTCCACTTGGGTCTCGTCCTCGGCGTCGGCGCACACATGCAAGAACTTCGCCGTGTGCGCTCGGGTGTCCTCGGCGAAGCCGAAACGATGGTCACGATGCACGACGTGCTCGATGCCCAGTACGCGTTTGACACGTACAAGGATGAGAGCTACCTCCGCCGCATTGTGCGCCCGCTCGAAGTCCTCCTCACGACGTACAAGCGCATCGTCGTCAAGGACTCGGCCGTCAACGCGGTCTGCTACGGCGCCAAGTTCATGGTCCCGGGTCTCCTCCGCTTCGCCGACGACATTGACGTCAACGAAGAGGTCGTGCTCATGACGACCAAGGGCGAAGCCATCGCGATCGGTATTGCCCAGATGACCACGGCGGTCATGGCCACGTGCGACCACGGCGTCGTCGCCAAGATCAAGCGTGTCATCATGGAACGCGACACGTACCCGCGCCGCTGGGGCCTCGGCCCCATGGCCCAGAAGGTCAAGGGTCTCGTCAAGGAGGGCAAGATTGGCAAGTTTGGCAAGGTCAACGAAGCCACGCCCGCCGACGTCTCGGCCGTCTACTCCAAGCAGGCGGCGCCCGTCGCGGCCATCACGCCCGTCATTGAGGAGGTCAAGGCCGACTCGGACGACGAGCCCAAGAAGGAAAAGAAGGCCAAGAAGGAGAAGAAGGAGAAGAAGGCCAAGCGCGAAGCCGAGGCCGAAGACGGCGCCGACGAGCCGGAGAAGAAGAAGAAGAAGAAGAAGAAGCACAGCCAGGACGACGAAGAGTAGAGAGCGATGATGTTGTAAAGTTATATATAGTGTTTAGTACATATGCTACTACGCACCTTGAATCGACTATACACACTTTAGTTTTGCACTTGCACGACTACATCGGCGTTCGACTTCGTGATGCCAGTTGCTGTTGGACTGCAAGCCGGCCTCGTCGGCTTGCAGTACAACAGCAACTGGCATCATGAAGTCGAACGCCACTAGTCCGTCATCGGGTACACGCTGAGCGGATGCACGGCCGACGCCAGCGCTTCGGCCTCCCGCAACCAGTCGGCGCACCCCCGCGCGTCGATCGCAGTGAACGCGGGCCGGTAGGACGTGGAACGCGTACAGAAGCGTCGCTACACGCTGCATGTCGGCCGCCGCGCGGACGAGCACCATGCCCACGTTGGGCACCAGCTTTTGCGACGCACGCCGGGCATGCATGGGCAATCATCAGGTGCTGCGCAATGGCGTCGACCGAGCGATACTCGACGGCAACCGGCCGCGTGATCTCCGACGACGTCCGCGGTGAGGAGGCTCATCGCCGCCCGCATCAAGCACCTGGACGTGTCCATGAGAGCACGGTGCAAGTCGAGCATGCATCGGTGGCCAGCCTCGCTAACGTTCCGAAGCGCTAGGCGGCAGCGATGCACGTGGCGCGTCGAGAGCGCACGGCAAAACGAGGTCAACTGCGCCTGCGCAAAGCGCCCAAACCGGCCGACCGATTGCAGCGTTGGGACGTACGTCGCGTGCCCTTGGTTGAGGGCATCCTTGCCTTCCTGGAGCAGCGTGGCCGCGTCGCCGGTGGCCATGGCGCTCGACGAGAGGCAGAGACATTGGTGCGCCGTGCGGAACGCCGCCGCCGGGATATCGCGCTGGGCGAGATCAACGACCTCGCCCAGCGGAAAAGATCCAGCGGAAGATGGCGCCGATCATGGACAGCATGTGGGGCTGCAGTTGCGGGGCGGCCATGGCGTCCGGCGCAGCTGTCCAGCGCTGCAAGTTCGAATCTGGACGCTGGATCGTAGAGTGGGACAAAATGTATCAACTCTACATGTTGAAACGAAAGCTTTGAACGCTCCAAGGCAGACTACGAGCTGCAATCGAGCCGATAAGCGCGGAGCCGGCGACAAGAAGGGCGACGCAATGTCAAGGGATTTATACCCTTGTCCAATGCCATCCTTTACTACAGTAGTAGCCCTGGGAGGCCCCACCCGAGGCCGGTTCTGCAAACGACGGTCACTTGGAGGTCGACCCTTGCACCACGCACCTGACCACCCAGCAAGAAGGCGACTCGTCTCCTGTGCAACTACGATCCCAGTAGTCTCAAACACGAGCACGCACTCTAGAGCACGTCACTCACTCGGCACCGAAGTGCCCATTCCAAGCCGATACGCAGCTTGAAACGGAGGTTTCTCGAAGCTTGGCTCCGCACTGCGCCGGGTCCCAGGCAAGAAGCCATGGCCAGCGCTCGTTGAGCCGTTGCTCGCAGCTTCAATCGCACTGTGTATTTTCTTCATGAAGCCATCGCACGCCCACTACATGCGCGGTTGGTTCACCGACCCGGCCATGTACCCGCTGCTGCTCATTGTTCCGCTGCCGTTGGCGCTCGGAGCGTACTGCGGCTTTCGATACTGCGTCAACTGCCCGGAAGTTCGCTGGCGCAAAGAGACGCGCCACGACCCCCTCTTTCGGTCGCACGAGCCGTCGGGGGCGTCGTTCTACGCCCACGCCCACGCCTTGGCGCGGTTGAAGCCCAACGCCATCACGCGCGTTAATGATGCACATCTGCAGGACAAGGACAAGTAAGTAGAACATGAATATGCAGCCACGAGTAGCATTATGCAAGGCGTCGATCGCGTCGACAAGTGGTCTAGTTGAACTCGCTAAACACAATATCGCAGTCGTCGAACTTTTTGCTCGCGAGCTCGGGCGGCGGCACGCACTTCCAGCCGGCGTAGAAGAAGCCGCCGAGGCAGACGTAGAAGATGCTCTCAATGTTGGTCGGGTCGATGGGCAAACTCGGGTGGAGGAAGAAGACGGCCGTGCAAAACGCCGCCAGCAGCGTCGCCACCAACGCCTCGGTGCGGCGCAGCGGCAGCATGCGGGCGCCCGGGACGACGAGCCGGCGCAGCACCACCGCCGAGAACGCCACGGCCACGAGGAGGAGCGAATGCGTGTGGCGGAACTGCCCGTCCTTGGCCTTGACGATCCACGCGAGCGCAAAACCGAGGTATCGGAGCGTGATGTTGACGTTCTCGTACGGAAGCGCGAGCAAGTGGACGCAGAGCAAGTACAGGAACGAGACGTAGAGGACCTCGAGCATTGCGTGCCACTGCACGGCCGTGAGGAAGAGTTCGTTGGCCGCTGTGAGCTGCGCGCAGTTGAAGCAGACGGCAACACACACGTGCAAGAGCCCGATGAACATTTCAAAATGCCGCTTGTTGCGCTGCATAATGTAGATGGACGGAATGACACTGAGGTCGGCCGCTAGCTTGAGAACAAAGCCTGTGGTCACCGACGCCATGTTTGCCACGAGGACTTGGTCTGTAGCGTGCGCGGTAGCGAGGACAAAGTAAACTGAGCGAAATGAAGTCGCTAGTTGGCAGCTCGCCGCCAAAAAACATTCGAATTCGATGGATCGCATAAGCTTGGTGCTAGAGGGCAATGCGCTGGGATTGGCTCGTTTGACGAGCGACGCTTGGACGAGGCCTTTTGGAGGCGCGTCGTTTCGATCATGTCGTCCGCTAAAGCTGGTTGCTCGACGATATCGCTGCGTTGATGGCTGGAAAATGCTTCGCTTCACGTGGGCACAGGATGTCTGTCCTCTTGGCGTTGGGGCGCTCTTTGGGCTCACTTAACCGGATCCGGATAAAGATACGCATCGCGATTGTTCAAGCTGGCGATCTTGAAGAGCCAACGTTTTCGCATTAAATTGTAGAGCTCGGAAAAATCTCAAAGTCATGGAGAGACTGACACTTCACAGCGCACCGTCGAAAACACACGAGTGCTTGGTTCCGAGATGCACAAGGTATTGCCGGTATACCAGTCTTCGGGACGCGAGCCTCCCATGCAGCGGGCCACAGCGACCATCAAACGCCGATTATCCTGGCGCTCGAGCTCTGTTGGCTAGGTCAGAGTGAAACGTGGGTACAGAAGGGCACCGGGAGTTGTGAAAAGGCTCCGACTTGCCGACGCAAAACCAAACCAGTAGCGGAGCTGTTGCCGACTTGTGATGCTTGAAACCTTTAGTGTCGAGGCTCCCGTTCGTCCCAAGATATTTCGTAAAAATGAAATGTCGTCCAGCTCATCACAATGTTAATGGTTCAACGTCAACGACTCGAGCCATGCCCATATCTGCGTGGACGGCAATGTGGCAGTGCGTCATGGTGGGCCCAACAACCGACGGCCGAAACCTACGATGTCTGCTTACGCACCAAAGAGCCGTGGAGTTGACGTACCATAACTGGAGAGTACCGTGGAGCAGGGGCACCGTGTCGCGCCAGCCTGCTTGACCGAGTACGTGGAAGTGCGTATTGTGGATATGAAAAGGGTGGTTGATATCACCGGGGGCAGCAATACGCACGCACCACAGCTGCGGCGATCCAACAACAATGCTGTCACGGCTCTCCATCGAGAAGGCTTCGCCGTTGACGCCGTAGCCACTCATCGCAGTGTCGTTGGCGATAAATGTATAGTTGTAGTTGCAGGCCCGTGGCAGCTCTGGTGGCACCGTCATGTACGACGGCAAGCTCACGTGCAATGGCTGTGGCCATGCCGACACCGCCGAGACCATGTGCTCGAGAGCGCTTGCGATGCGCAAGCGCAAAAGCGGCTGCGATGGCACGCGGTGGTGGTGGCCAAATTCGGGTGATCGTGCAAGGTCTTTGACGACGTCGATGGAAACGTCCTCGGTTTGTGGCGGACATTGCACCTACCGTAAAGAGTCGAGTGGTCCACTAGTCACCAGCGCGTCCAAGTACCAATACGTCGGCGCGGCCACCGGGCGGCACGACGAGCGCGTCGTCAAGAGGCGACCACGTCTGCAATGTGATCCCGTCACGCGCAAGGAGCAGCGTCGTGCAGTTGTTGGCGGCAGGTGAGGCGATTTCTACCAAGTTGTTGGCGATGGCGTTGATATAGCGCAGACGCGTCCAGGCAAATGGTTGCACATCGATGATTGGCACCGAGAGTCCGTTGACAAGGGTGTACAGTCCCGAGCTGTTGCTCTCGAGGCGTGATTTGAAATGCCCCGACGGCTCGGCCGCCATGTGTCCTTCTATTGCGCGCGCGGTCGCATCATGCTCATGGCCACAGTCCTTGGCACAAACGGCTTGGATGAGAATCACGTGGTCGTTCTTTGAGCTCAGTTGCGCCGGCAAGTCTCCCGGACGGTCCAAAACGACGAGCGCGCCGGCGAGGAGCCCACCAATCTAGGCAAGTGTATACCTACAGTCTCGCCATATTCTTCTGCAGAGGGTGTGTACCTGTGCGTTGAGAAGACCGTGGACGTGAGGATGGTACCAGAAGGTCCCTGATGGGTGATCCGATGGCACGATGTACTTGAAGATGCGCTTCGAGCCAGGCGCGAGCGCAACACCGTCGTGCCCAATGTGCTACGCACCAAAGTAAATATTTTCAAACACGGCAGGCGTACTAAGCCGTGAAGGTGCAGGCTCGTGCGATTGGCAGCGCCAGGCCCCAGATCGTTGGCGATATCAAAGACGAGGTGATCTCCTGGCGTCACAACCAGCGTCGGGGCTGGCACCGACCCATTGAACGTACGCGTCGTCACGCACAAAACCGTGTCGTCGTGCATCCGCAGCTCGACGCGCGCCGGCTTTAGCGTCAAGGGCACAACAAGTTGCTGCTCAACGAGCTCGACGTTGATACCGTCTGGGGTCGCGATCGTGGCCTCGTGTAGCCAGCGGCGGGCCCGTGGCGACGCCAGGGTCCACTCAAGGCCGACTGCCCATCGCTGCAAAAGAACGCAGCTAAGGAAACAGCGTAGCACGGCGCGGGGATTGGCGCAGCCCACCATCAAAAGCGGATCCAAATCACCACCTGTGGGAGTTTCCCGTTTCAGTGCTCTTTCTGTAGCCACCACCGCGCCAGTATTTCGTACTAGTACACACTTGTAGGAGGACATCCCACTGAGATCTTATGCATCAAGCTTACATTATGTTACCCACAGTGCGAGAGCTTCGATAGCTCTCAAAGTGTGGTCAACTTTTACCATCTATGCGACTTGATGGGCAACCTCGTGACAATGGAAGAAATGGTCACGCGATCTATTTACCGCTTTGTGATTCGCTCCCGCGTCGTTCATATCCCACCAGTGAGAATTGCTGTGAAAAAATTGAAAACCTGTGAAAATCAATACGTATTGACGAACTTCAACGTGCAGTACATCACATGTGTGCGGCCAGGCTCCATAGCACGATGCGAGCCCACGATGCGAGCCCACGATGCGAGCCCACGATTGCGAGGCGACACGAGACACGAAGGTTCTATGCAGTCGGTACCTCCTACGCTATGATAACGCAGTTCGCACCATCTCTGTCCGTTGTACGTGGTGATTGAAGCCGCACCAAAGGTGGCTTTGCCTCTTCGTCTTTACACGGTACTCACCGCGACGGCTACTACACTGTACGGCCCACTGGCTCTTGGTCCAGAATGATCGCAAATGGCGGCTTGATGCTCCGTGCATGGAGTTCACGAGCGCGAGGCGGATACGTGGGCAGTGTACTGAGTACGGCAACGTCACGCCGGCAACGTCGCTTGTCAAGATCGCTCACTTGTTGCGCACGCTCGTTAGTGCCTGCACGCACCGCACGCCACCTTTGTTACACATCGAGGCGGTCGTGCGCACGCGACATTGGAATGCGACCAACGTGACCACTCGGCTCCTTTTCGGACGTGAGCAACCATTTCTTTGCCGAACATGGTCGTCCTGCCGAGTCGATCTCAGGGCCGTCGTAGCGCTGCCCTTTGGCGATGGCAGAGGCGGCCGCAAGTGGTAACATTCTATCGTCGGTCGTACAACAGCTCGTCCTGTCCTCGGCGCCGACTGCCTGTCCAAACTATACTCGCCGCCAGAATATTGCCAGCGTCTCGATAATAAAAAAGAGAAACCACCGCGTGTCTCTTGCGTATTGTATGCGGTTTTTTGCACGTAAAAAAAGCAAACCTCTCAGAACGCATACGTGGCCGGACCTTGCAGGCACCAGCTGGGACACGCGCCGCGCTTCGGCAAGGGAAAACCTCTCACAACGGATCTGACATTACTGCCTGAACCACTTGGTGTTTGTATACCGATGTAAAAACGCTACAGCCCTTGGTAAAAACGTCTCGCAGGCGGACAGGCATACGCAGTATCACATCTCGACTTCTCGTTGCCGACGAAGGAGACGACGACCCAGGTACGCAGGCGAGCGTGCCACGTGCAAGCGGCTCATCCTGATCATGCGCTAGCACCCTTCACCGACGACGAAGCAACTCGAGATGGCTCCCAACGGCGCAATGTACACGGAACCTACGGCGACGACACCGCAGCCGGCCATGCACGACAGCGACACCGTCATCTTCCTCGACTGGGGTACGTTTGGCCGCTACATGGCGACGCATGGCTCACTCGAGTGGCTGTAGACGATACGCTCTTGGCGTCCACGTGGGTTGGCAAGCTCGGGCTGCGGCCAAAGTACGTCAACGAGAAGCCGCACATCCCGGACGACGTCAAGCTCCAGCTTGAAGAGCTTGAAGAGTGCGTGATTGCGCTCCTGGAAAACGCGATGAAGTATGGCCGTGTCGTGATCATCACCGCCGCCGAGACGGGGTGGGTCGAGCTCTCGGCGTCGCTCTTCATGCCACGGACGCTGCCGATCATCAACAGCATGATCAAGGTCGTCTCGGCGCGCTCGACGTACGAAGAGCTGTACCCGGGTGCGCCCAAGAAGTGGAAGATCGAGGCGTTCCAGCACGAGGTGTACAACCACAGCGCAACGACGACGCCCAAGCACATCATCTCGATCGGCGACGGCCCGACCGAGCGCGAGGCTCTCATCAACCTCAAGATGTCGTCGTACGCGTCGTTCCACGCCAAGTCGCTCAAGCTCATCACGTACCCAAACGCGATCGAGCTCAAGATGGAAGTCCGCCTTCTCTTGGACAACCTCCACACGCTGTGTACACACGAAGAGGACATGGACCTCCAAATTTCCAAGGACGTCCTCCAAGCCGCATGAGGCGCCGTCACGACGCCGTATTTTATAAGTAGTTTTGTGCAACAAGCCCGTATAATTAAGACCCGACACATTAATCGTAGCGTCTCGCCCAGAGAATGACGCACTCTCGGACACAGGGTGGAGTAGCTTGGTGGTAGTAGTAAGCTACTCCTGCCGCAAGCGCAGTATCAACTGCCCAGAGCTTGAAGCTGAGTTGAGAGTCAGATATGCTTCGATATGAGGCACTACTCGACATGTCGCCCAGGCAGCTTGGCCGCTGCCCGCCTCGGTCTTGCCCACCTAGCTCTTGCCCAAGCCCGCACGGAACTAGTACCTCACGGGCGGGACAACGGGCGGGAGGCTTGCGCTCCAGACAGTCCAACAGCATGGCGCCGTGTATGTCGTGTCTACAGCTCATCATCGACACTATATTACACAGCGCGAGGCTCGCTAGCTAGTCCGAGTAGAGACCAAACACAATGCACGTGGCCCAGATCGTCTCCTAGCCGGTCGTGAGTTGCGGTGCGAATGAAACTCTGTACATTGTGAAACTCGGCGGACGCGTGGTTGTCGTAGTCGTTGTCCCAGAGACAGCGCGACGCAATGCGGACGTCCTGGAGCTTTTGCTGCCCCACAAAAGCTTGCACAATGATCTTGTAGCGCGGAAAGGCGCACTCGGCTACGCCAGTCGTCCGGACGAGCAATGGAGTCGAGAGTACTACCTCGGATGCGGTTCTTGACGGCATCGGCAATCGCTGTCGACCACTGCTTGGCGTCCTCTTCGTCGTACTCTTTCGCATCGAGCTCGCGCTGGAGACACTCGGCGACGATGCCAGACACCTTGCGCCGACGAAACCTAGCTCAGGCTCGAGACTGGACGCTACTGCGCAGACGGTACTTTTCGTCGTCGGTCGGCGCCATAATGTACGTGGGCATGTAGATCTTGATGACCGGCGCATTCTTGGACGAGGTCGTTCCCGTCGCGGCAGGCTCTGTCTCGGCCATGGCTGCGTCGCTTCGGTCTTGGCGCTTCGAAATGGATCTTTGAGTCGAGCCAACCGTCCAGCATTATTCGTTGCAAATGGCGAACTGGTCGATGCCAGAGGGTGCGTCGAGGAGCCATACTGGCGGATGGGTTGAACATGATATTTGCATTCGACTATGAGGTATTTGTCTACGTGGTCTCCGACTCTGGGGTAACAGCGATCTCCGTCACTGGGGCAGCTGCGACGACTTTGGTGCGGTACTGGACGGCCCGGCCACCATAGTACGCCGTGTTGCTAAACGCAATCGTGACGACGCCGTCGCTCCTTGCCGTCCACGAGTCGTGGTGCAGCTCGGGCGTGTGGCTGAGGCGCTGCTGGAAGAGCATCACGACGGCATCGAGTCCAGCGTCGAGAGGTCGGAAGCTCACGGCCACGTCGACGGGCTTGCCGGGCACCCCGACGGCGTAGAGAAGGCGCCGCCCGCCTGTGACAGCCACTTCGATGCGCTCGGTTGCACGCGCGGCGGCGAGAAGCGTCGCGCACCCGTCGGCATCAAATTGCACGAGCGGTCGCGTCTGTGAGTTGGGAATGTTGCCGATGCACCCGTTGCCGTCGCATGCGCAGCGACCGCCAAGGAACGTGGGCACGTCGTCGAGCTGCAAGTACGCCGAGAGGTACGGGCACGACGCCAGCGACGCGCCGCCGGGGCACACGACGACGTTGGCCAGCGTCGCGGGGTTAAGCCACGGCTTGATGACGCGAAACATCCACGACAAGAGCGACGGCGTGTTGAGGAGGATCGAGCGACCAACCATTTGCGGGTACATCTTCTCCGCGAGCTGACTGCACTCGCCGAGGAGCTTGGTGAAGCGCGGGTCCGACTTGGTCGTGAGCGAAAAGCCGGCAAAGTCGAGCACGTTGATGCCTTTCACGAGCCGCCGCGTCGCGCGCGTTCTCGCCTCGAGGTAGCTGACCATGCTCTCGCGCGACAAGAGCATGTACTCGAGGATGTCGTCGTACGCCACGTTGCGCAAGAGCGACTTGGCGTTGCAGAGCCCGACGCGCACGTAGAAGAGAGGCTCGCCCCGTGACGTGTACTTGTGGTCACCGACCACCTACGCCGCGGCTCGATCTGTATCCCAATGACGCCACGTACCTGGTATTTCGTGATCTCGTCGTGCCACGGCGCCTTGGCGCCGGCGCGGATGCGGCCAAGGACCTCGGCACGCTCGGTGCGCCAGCGAATCGTGTCTCGGATCGGCACTTCGCAGGCCGCGGGGCTGCCGTTGCTCATGATGAAGCGCATGAGCCAGATGTCGTCGTCAAACTCGGGTGTGAGCGCGTCGCGGACGAGCGCGCGCACGGCGGCGATGCTCTCGGCGTGGGTCACGAGCAGCGCGTCTACGTCCCCTTGCTCGTCGTCCATGCTGGAAAAAGTTCACGTGCACTGCCATCAGTCTTCCTAAGTACGCTTGTAACTGTAACACACTAATTAAAGTATACAGTATATAGAGTGAATTTGGATGCAATCAAGATGGGCTTGTGGACCGAGTTCCTGTTGCAACAACAGTACGAGTCGCACCATAACCGTAGATCCTGCTTATTATAAGGCCAATGAAAGCTGGACGGTGTGAACAACAAGGTTTAGCGTGCACCGGAGAGCTCATTCAGGCTCGGCGCGTCATGGGTCGTGAGTGACGTGCATTTGGTACCCGCAGCCAAAAGGTCAATTCGATGGTGATATGAGCATGTTGCAAAGTTGAGCCGCGTCGATCTTGTCTATAGTGACTGGGAAATGGCCCTTTGTGCTGGAATACGAGGCAGTCGCATCCGGCGTTCAAGGCTTGCATCACACACGCCGCGCAATCCACCCGCAAGACAACCCACCTGTGATTTGCTTGCGCTAATGACACGATGAGTTGCGCCGCCCATCATCCGCGAATGCAGCATTTGGGCTGCGCCCGTGGGCACTGTCTCAGCCGATCAATGTCAAAATGGCGATCTTCGAGGTCCTCGAACCCACGACACATCACAGCAGTCATAGTGCGTCCAGCTGCGACACCGAGACACTGTGTCTAGAATAACGACCTTGGCGTCGCGAAACTGAGTCATTTTACGGGACAGTCTACTCAATCTATTGGCAATTACATAATCTTAGATGGTGTCGTGACGTTGTGCGGTTGTTGACGTTGTCGGTGCTATCACAAGTGGTCGTGGCTCGGCTAAATCCTCATACAAGAGGCGGCTTGTGTCAGAGAGGCTCGGTGAGACGCGACGGTAGCCCATGATGACGTCTTCGTACCGCTCGAGGCGCGTGACCTTGCCGTGCTCGCCAAAGTAAAATGTATAAAAGACCGTGAGCTGCATGGCTTGGCCGATGAGGAAGCGTCGGTCGAGATCGGGCACGTGTTGAAAGAGATTGCCCACGACGGCGTCCGTGAGCACGTACTCCAAGACGCCCGTGACCTTGGCGATGCAGCAGTCGGCGCAGCCGTCGCCAACCACTTGGTACGAAGTGGCTTTAAACGTGTGGGCCGGGAAGAGCTTGGTGTCGTGGCGCAGTTTCTGGATGAGCCCGTGGAGCCCGATGGACTCGTCGTAGAAGATCGTGTGCACGTCCGGGTCCATGCACGTATGCAGGAAATCGATTTGCTTGTTATGGTCAAACGGCACGCTGAGGTTGATGCCCTTGGCGAAGAGCCGAATGTAGTCGTGGACGGTCTTGAGCGCGTGGCTTCGCATGTCGAGCGCCCGCGGCTTGGCCATGCGCACGAGGAGGTCCTTCTTCGCATTGAGCCGGATGATGTCCTGGCGTAGCGCCACGACGCAGAGTCCAAGCGCCCGCTTCTGCTCCGTGGACTGCTTGTCTTGCTTCGTGGCCATCGTTTGGCTATGTTGAGAGCCCAACTCGTCACATAAAAACAGCGCGTGCCCATGTGCAATGCTATTTACAGCCGTCGACTCTTTTGCTGTGCTGCCCAAACGGTTGCAAGGAAGGAGACGCTGCACGCAAGGTTGTAGACAACTCTATCGGTGCGACCACTCGGCCTCTGTTTTGCGGCGATGTGCTCAACGCTTGTGGGCGGCGTGTTTCTCTACCAGTAGTATACAGTGCTTCTCCGATGACGTCAGGCTCGTCTGAACGACCAACGACAATTTTTCCAATACAAAAAAACAGCCAAGGACTGGAGTGCCAAGCAACACGATGGAAACGATGGCGTCGGCAAGTATAGCAGGCGACAGTACGCTGTGTTGCGACGTCGGTCGGACGGTGGCGCACCGACCATTCGTTGGATTTTCGAGATTTGCAAAAGAAATTTGTACTAGGTGAGCGGGCATGGACACCAGCGGACACCGACAGATGGATGGGTGTATGCGCAGCAAAAATGCCATCCCGATGCCGCAGTGCATGCACTGGGGCGTCTTGCTGACCTCTTGACCTCGCCCGTGACACTGAATGTGATTTTGATGGCAGTGGTCTGCCGTTGACGGCAACAGGGACAGAGCCTCGACATCCTATTTTGCGAAAGTGACGGAGACTCATGGCAGGTGCCTTTTATCAAGCGACTTGGTGGTGATGGCAAGCCTGTCGACTTGTGTCTTACTATAGCAGCGTCGCCATGCTATGACGTTAACGCTACTCGAATTCGTCACGATCCTCGTTTCCCGCCGTCAAACCTAAGCCTGGAGCGTCCGACTTTGTCGTTGCTCGTTACCACGTGGAGATGAAGAAAATGTTTCATGCGCTGCAGTCATAATGTCCTTTGTCAGTGCTAATGGACGGGCGAAATTTGACGAGCCAAAGGTTCCGTACTGGTACTGGTAGAAAATTCTGGGTGCAAGGGGCAATAAGAAACTTCTTATTAGGAAACCACTTATTGCCCTTGCCCAAGAGGCGCCTCTGTACAAAACTCGGTCTTGCAGGTCCTCTCGGGCGCCTCGTACGACCAAGTCCGCAGGCGTTCGTACACCAGCCACGAGACGTCGCCGATCGCTCGAACAGCTCGATAGATCGTTCGCTGCCAGCGACGGTGGATTGCAGTGCCGTTTCTTACTGAAGCATACCACACAGGATGCACCTGCCGCACTCTGCGCGACCAGCAACGGTACAGTACTGCACGACGCTGGTGCTGTTCGCGAGGGTTTTCAATGGGGACGAGAGAAGAGAGCTAGTAGTTGATGAATGAATGAATTGATGTTTTTTGTTGTTAACTTAGAGAGTTGTGATCGTCTTGGGGTTGGCGCCTTCAAACGCAATGCGGTAGATGGCGACGAAGAGCGGAAAATCGTTGAGCGCGTGCGTCTTGTCGAGGATATGGAACACTTCCTTCGCCGTCCACGTGCCCTGGAGCTTCTGGCCGTTGAGCACCGTGTTCTCCAGCGTCTCCCACGTGACGCCTTGGTCCTTGACGAAGAGCTCGGCGCACTTGCGGTTGCGACCGCCAAAGCACGTCGTAATGAGGTCGGCGACGCCGCAGCTCTCAAAGAACGTGTCTTCCTTGATGCCATCAAAGAAGCGGTAGCAAAACTTCTTCATCTCGATCAAGCCGAGACGAATGATGGCGGCCTTGGTGTTGCCACCGTACCCGAGACCGTCGCAAAAGCCTGCACCGAGCGCGACGACGTTCTTGAGCGCGCCGCAGAGCTCGACGCCGTTCGGGTCCATCGCAATGTTGACGTGGAACGTCGGCGCGTGGAAGAGGTGCTGCAAGAGCGCACCTTCCTGGACGCCCGAGCAGCCGAGCGTCGACTCGCAAAAGTCGCCGGCCGCGACTTCGTTGGCGACGTTGGCGCCCATGAGCACGGAGCAGTCAATGTTGAGCGCGTCGCGGATGATGTTGGAGACGAGGACGACGCCGTTGTCGTTGAAGTCGATGCCCTTGATGAGCGAGACTGCGCAGCAGTCGGACTCGAGGCCCTGCTCCTTGATCTGCGGCAGCATGCGGCCGAGGAATTGGTGCGGCACGCAAAAGATGAGAATGTGCGCACCCTTGGTCGCCTCCTTGAGGTCCGGGACCGCGACGACGTTGGTCGGGAGCTTGTAGCCCGGGAGGTACTTGACGTTCTCGTGCTCCGTGTTGATGATTTCCGTGAGCTTGCGGTCGTTGACCATCTCCTCAAACACCCACATGTTGAGCGTGGGCTCAAAGAGCTGCGGGTTGGCCGTGATGTTGTCGCCGACGATGCGCGCGATGGCCGAGCCCCAGTTACCGGAGCCGACGAGCACGACCTTCTTGCGGTGCGTGTCCAAGTGGTACGTGTGGTGGGTCATCTTGGAAGACAAAGTGATACGAGCGCCAAAGGGCAATTTCGAGACTGGGGCGATCTCTATTTTTATTGATGCCGTGCCGTCGGCCAATCACGGACGCATCTCTCGAAATCCACTGACGGCCATAATCGTATGGGAAACGTGGCCAAATGACTCGGCTGCGGCATGTCCCAGTGCCATCGTCGGCCAATCACCGACGTGGAGAATCCAGTGTCGCGCGACATGTAGGGGGGCCGCCGAAGGTTCTTGTGGCGTCAACGACCTTGATGACGAAGCACATGCCACCGTCAAAACGAAGTGGACTGGGGAGTTGAGTGGCGCGCGCGGCTGACGTGGCTGCAGAGATGCACGCAGCGCCGTCCGCCTTTCCCTCATCCCGCGTTTTGATTGGCCGAGAAAACCTATTTCCACCAATCACAAGCCGAGCATCGAGTATCTTGCTGCACACAACGCGGTTGACCGCGACACAACGTGGAGCCTTGAGGTAGTAAAAACGGTCGACGTGTGTGCCTCCAGCGCCGTGTCGACAAGACATGACCCCGTCGCCCACGGACGAATGAACCGGTATAGCTTCGTTGCCCGCAAGTTCGAGCCTGGTGCAGCTCCGTTGGTAGCCGTGCACAGCCTTTGTGAACGGCTATAGAGCGAGTATAGAGCGTGCGTAGGACTGGCGTGGGTTGAAAGCTGAGTCGTAGGTAATTGCTCTGTCAACATGTACTCGCCCTCATTACAGAGCTACGACAATTTGAGTGTTATCACGTTGTCTGCGGTGGGCTCGTGCTTGGCAAGAGGCTACAATCTCCATCGGAAGGAAAAGCACATCGCTGGAAACGTCATCGCGTGGGCAAAGATCTCGAAAGACAACATGTCCAAGAAGCCGTCACATGCGCCTCCTCAATGTCAACGTCGACGTAACATACGCAGCCCATTGGACCCGTTCTTTGCAGCGCGCCAACGACTGCGCTGCGAGGCATCTCCCTCTGCAGCTCAATGAGGCGTGGGCCAGACCCGTGCGATCAAGATCGGCGGCCGCAACCAGAGCCGCGGACCAAAGCAGTTAATGCGCTGTTTCCAGGGCCAAGACCCGCGTCCCGAGCACGAGCACTGCAGCGAAGCCGCGAAACGCCCGCACAAGGACAAGGGCGGTGACACCGCCGCGGTGAGCGATGTAAATCCTAGCGTGCACGAAGAGCCGGGCGAGGACGCATGCCACTCGACAAAGTCCGTCAACTCGTACCACCTTGGGAAGAGAAAAACGCTGAATGACGCCAGCCAGTATGCGCCCACAAGGATTCAGTTTGGCGACTTTCGGCTGATCCCGATCGAAGGCAGCAGCTACACCCCACCGGCGATGATGCCACGTTCCCACTCTCAACAGCGTATCTATTCGCCAAGGAATATCATACATGGCAATTTCGTACCCGTCGCGATCGACGACGTCTGTATACGAGCAAAATCACGTCGCAAGCCTGCGTAGGAAGCCTCGAAAAAAGAGCACCCAAGATCCACTGCGGTCCATGATGCAAAGCCATCATCAAGCCAATCGACTCGCCCCTTTGCTTATATCGAGCAAAAGAGGCTGGTGGAGCGTTTGTGCTCAACAGCGTGTCGACAAGACATGACCCTGTCGCCCACCGACAAACTACCTAACGTTAGTATGGTTACCCTAAGCTCCGTTTGTATTAGATGGGCTTTCATACATGGCAATAGAGCCTGCGTAGGATATAAATTGGTTGTAGGTGAGAGCCGTAAGAGCTACTGTAGCTCTATCAACAATGACGTGCCTCCTACCGAACGACTCGAGTCTGACGTGTTTTGAATGTTTAGGCAGCATTAATGCAGCATGAGCGATTCTACGAAAACAATGAGCGTCGCGACAGGAGCGATGCACACATACCCTCTTGGACTAGCGCAATGATCTGTTCTTTGAACGGTTTGTGTCGACTGAGCTTTTCGAGGACGATCTTGGCGGCCTTCTTTTGGGGTACGGTGCCTTCGCAGTAGAGGTTGACAATAGGTCCAATCGCATCCTTCATCTTGACAAGGAGGTCTGTTGCGGCGAGCGCCGTGAGTACGATGCAAGCTGCAGTTTTTTGGCTATCGTTGCCGACACCGAGAATCGCGAGGCAAGGACCTAACTCAACAAACAATGAACATCAGCTTGGAGATAGGGCGTGCGGACCGAGAAGCCCGGCCTTGGCCAACGGAATCTGATACTCGGCGTGGGGCGCAAGCTTGCTGAGCGCGCTGAGCGTTTGCTGGCGCACAAACTAGTTGACGACAAATACTGTTAGAGAACGCGCTGCACTCGATAGGCAGACCTTGCGCCCGCGCACGACGTAGTTGAGTAGCGTCGGAATCCCATTCTCCTTGACGAGCCGGCTGCGGTTCTCCGCGCACTCCATGAGCCAGTTGAGCGCGGCGGCGCTAGTGTCTATCATCCTGCTTCAGCAAACCGTGGTATCATCACAAATTTGCGCACCGCGCTGGGAGTGGGTGCCCGCCTTTAATAGACTAAGAAACGCAACAATACCGCCTTCCGAACCAATTTCGCGCTGGTTGTCTTCCGTGCCCGAGAGATACCGCAAAACGAGCGCCGCCTTGTCGCGCACGGTCTCGTGCGTCGCTGTCGTTGTGAGCTTGCGCATGCAGATCGGAATTGCGCTCTCTTCGACAAGCAGCGGCTGGTACTCGCGGTTGAGCGAAATCGCGCAGAGGGCAGCCCCCGCTTCGTACTACTCAACGCAATGTAAAATTGGAAATCCAGTGGCATCTACTTGTTGCAGCATGGTGCCGGTGCCGAGGATCTTGAGCAGCGCAGCGATCGTTTGCTTGAAGCTGTCGCTTTTATCAAAGACCTTGATGCCGCCAACAACAAAGAGGTTGCGAATGAGCCCGGCCATGTGCTCCTTGGTGAAGCCTTCGCCAACCTAGTGAAACGATACGTCGATGGCAACGCCAACGCGTACTACCGTGAGGTAGGCCGTAAACGACGTGAGGAGCGACATGTCTTGAATCGCGAGCAAGATCTTGCGGCGAAGCACGCCGCTGCTGCGGGCGAGGATCTTCATCAATAGAATGGCGAGCTCGGCCTCCCGCGGCACCTCTACTCGCTCAATGGGTCGACACACTTGAGGACACTATGGTACCTTCGTCCGACTGGTCGAGCTTGACAAAATGCACCATGACTGGCAAAATGCCTTTGGCGAGCATCTTGTCGGCGTAGACCGGCGACGCCATGGCGAGGCCAATGAGGCGCTTGAGCACGCGCTCGCTCACGTCCCACGGCTGCTGGTCCTGCTTGAGCCGCGTCATGAGCGGGCTTACGGCCATGTTCTCAATCGAATTCGGGTCCCCCGTGGGTTTGTATGGGAGTTTTTGGAGCTCGAGGATCTTCTCTGTGAGCTCGTCGCACGCATCGTCATAGTACTCGTCGTGTGTAAAGTCCATGCACTCTTGGTCCCCAATGATGATGCGAAACTCGCCCGAGAGACAGTCCTACACGCGATGATGATTGCGTGATGCGAACGCCGTGTCGGTACGTAGCGCTTCATTTCGTCTTCGAGCACAATGAACACCATCCGCTGGACCGTCTTGGTGAAAAGCGCGAGTGAAAACTCATACTGACAGCTCTCGAGCTGCCCGTCGCTGTTGACGAGGTTCATATAATGCCGCGTGACAAAGACGACGACGACCGACGCGTGACCAAGGCCTTGCTGGATGAGTGCATTGTCGGTGGCGCTCTTGTCGGCGTCGTACCACACAACAATGCCGCTACGTCCATGATACGGTACATGTAGGGAGACAGAACAGAACGCACTTGGCCGTCAAGAGCTTGTGGGCGCGCGCAATGCGCTCCCGCACGATGCGACTCGCGCTGTCTTTGCCCACGGCGTACGAAAAGTATGCGTCGTAGTGGTCGAGGTTCGGGTCGAACGCCGCGCTTGGCGCACTCACAATGTCATCAAAGTGGTCGCGCACCATGCTCTGGATCGACATGACAGGCCGAAGACCCCGTGTTGCGACCGTTGTCGCCTTCATGGTCGGATGCACAATATCGTCGTCGTCCCCGTCGTCATGGTCCTGCAATGTGTCCATGAGGTGATCAAGGACAGCATCGTACAGGTGGCTTTGCTGTCGGGTGACCGTCTTGTGTCTACGTGTACATGCATGAGTAGGAGGATGGAGTTTCGTCGGGCTTTGGTCGTTGTGCGCACCAGGACGGCATTGTGTGAATGGCTATCAAACGAGTTGCGCCGACTGGACGAGCCTCGACGGACCTACAGTAGCAGATATGTTGTCACAGATGCGCATCGTCGTTGCCTACTGCCGAGTCAAAGGCCGATGGGTACGGTATGTCAAACTTGGCGGTGGCCACCCTGGGCGTCCCCTCGGCCTCGCGCGGCGTGGGGGCACGGCTTCGACTTGGTAGCTACGGGAGAGATCTGTGTTTAGAGTCGAGTTGTGGGCGACGGTACAGTTGGTCGAGGCGATGCAACGTTGGGTGCTGCATCAGCCTCGGTCGAGCCTGGTAGCGACGATGTGGGCCACGGTGCTTTTACGTCGGTGGTCGTGTGTGGTGGCTCTGTCGCTATCGGAGACGTCTCCGTGTCGAGCGGCGCCACTTGGCATGCGCGCTGCCCGCCAAAGCTGGATATCGTGTCGGCGGGTCGCGCCACCATGTTTTCGTCGGCTCGGGGCGGAAGCTCGGGCGTGTGAGCCAACGGCGGCAGCGTTTTGGCGGGCGAGATCGGTGCGTTGTTTTCATGCGGCTCTATCGCCGTCACGAGCGTCTCGCAGGATACCGCGTGAAGCAGCGGCGCGCACTCGATGCTCGCAAGCACCATTTGCTGCACGGCGGCGCGCGCGTCCTCGGCGGCTTGCGTCGTCACGTCGTCTCGACCGACCGACCGACGCTTGGGCTTGGCAAGGGTGCGTACGGTGTGGCTACTCGTACTACTACCACTCGGCGTCGTAGCCGGTGCCTTGAGCTGCTTGAGATGATAGAGCATCATCGTCACGTGGCTTGGGTCCTTGACGTGGCAAGCGCTCATGAGGTCCGCTTCCGAGAGCGCCACGAGACGCGTGCTGTCAATGTCCTGGGCGAGAAGCATGTCACTGTACGGAACAAACTCGGGCCCGAGGTCCCTCACAAAGGTCGCGAGCTCGGCGGATGTGAGCTTCTGCACGGGTCCGTCCTGCGTTGAGAGCGCCGACCGAGAGCTCGTTGTGCCCATCGCAATGCAAAGCAGATGACTCTGATGATGGCACGACGTAGTATTTATAGGACGCGGAGATTGCTGTTCTCTGGCATCCCTCCCTCCCCTCGTAACTACTCGACGGACTCCCATATAGGCTGAAAGAGCAGCCTAGCTTCAAGCCATTGCGTGTTCTGGACGCTGACGAGGTCGTCTAACTCACGACTTGGTGAGTCGGGACTCGGTTTGAGCCAGTTTGAACCAGTGACAGAAGACTCGCAATGAAAGGCCAAGTCATGCTCGAGTTTTGCATACATAGATGAAGACGATCTCGCTCTCGATCTACGCGGTGGCCGCTGTGACGTCGGCCATTGCTGTCGCAAACGCCGTCCAGCCCTTCACCCACGTCGCAGCCGGAATCGAGAGGTTCCACACACCCTATACACACAAAAATCGTTGTGAGCACATTTCCACTAGGCGTCAGGAGGTCGCTACCATGTTCATTTCAAAGTAGTAGCGATTGGCGACGACGACGCCGGCGCCGGTGCGGAACGGGCGCGCCATGACAAAGCAGCGGACACCGCTCGCCGCTTCGGCCATCTCTTGCGCGCGCTTGATGTCGTCCAATTGGCCAAACAAGTGCACGTGCACGAGCGGGACTTCGGGCACGGGCGGGTCAAACACGACAACGCTCGATGGGACAGCCGCCGAGACGGCGGCAACGACGGTCTGCAACTGCAGCCGACGCGCGGCAAACACGGATGCTGGAAACGCGCGGAACCCGGCCCACGACGACGCAGCGTACGGCAGCTGCGAGTAGAGGTTGCCACCAAAGCGCCGAAGCCACACCTTGGACGCGTCGATAAAGTCGCTCGAGCCAAGGAGCATGGCGCCCGTGATGGCGCCGAGACCCTTGTAGAATGAGACGTACACCGAGTCAAAGAGCGCCGTCACGTCGTGGAGCGAGTGGCCGTGGGCGGCGTAGTTGGCTTCCGCTATCGCACACATTGTATAATCAACATCGAATCGTTGTGATGGCCCAACCTTCCCAAAGCCGCGCGCCGTCCATGTGCAGTGCGATGCCCTTGGCGCGCACGGCCTCCGAGATGCGAACAAGGTCGTCAAACGCAATGCATTTGCCGCCAATCTCGCGCTCTGGCAGCTCGAGGAAGAGAACGGCGGGCAGGTCGTCGCTCTCAAGAATGATCTTGACGTCGTCAAACGTAGCGGCAGCTTGCACGTCAGCAGCACTCGCAGGCAGCACGCGCGCGTCGAGATGGAGCACGTGCTTGTACGCGTCATGCTCGTGCAGGAACAAGTGCGAGTTGTACCGAGCAGCGAACGAGCTGCGACCGGACGTTTCTTCGTAGACCTTGAGCGCAATGTTTTGGGCCATGACACCCGACGGTACAAAGAGGGCGCGGTCGAAACCCAAGCGCGTCGCCACTTCGGCTTGGAAGCGCTGCAGCCACGACGCCTCGTTGGCATAGTCGCCGTACATGTCAAACGCCTGGATGCCCAAGGTGGCGCAGTCGGCGCGGAGCTGGTCCGAAGCGGCGTCGGGCGTCCGCGGGTCGTGCGACCAGCGCAAGTCGATCAAGTTGGGCGCCATCGTATTCGCTCTTCGATTCCGAGTCAGTGGGGAAGATATGATGGACGCATGCCATGCATTCGAGAACCTACACTCTTTCATCAGCTACAAACCCAACACCAAAACCTACATTCCGATAACGACTTCGAACTTCGCTTCTCCATACTTTCAGCAAGATACGCAAAGGCGATGGTGCGCGTTATCAGCGCGTTCGTCGGCCGCCAGCAATCATCATGCTTGCTGTGTCTGTTCCTTCGCCTTCGATCCCGTTCGCTGCGGCTTTTCTTTCGCTTGGAACGACCCTATTGTCTCTGCTACCAAACGCGGCGCACACGGGAACCTAGGGTAAGTACCTTGATGGAAACCGTCAAGATAGACATCGTGTTTAAAACACGACAATTGTGTCCTGTTTGAAACAATAAGATCGATGGTCTCTTATCTCGCCTGCAGTCTCGCCTGCGTGTGACGCGCCGTCGCATCAATGCGTTGCACTGCCGTGTGCGCAATTGCACTCTCGGTACCGACGTGTGTACCCGTAGACCGCCAAGCTCACAAAAGATCCTCACTGTCGTCGTCATGATGGAGCCGGACGCGATGACGCGAGCGCGTCGCACCAATCAGACGCGCGTAGACCAGCGTATCGCGATTGTGATTGGTGCGACGCTCTCATTGGCCCAAAGCCGATCCAAAGTGTCGCTTCGCCTCGGAGGGCTCGGGGTCAAAGAAATCGAAGCTCTGCATATACAAAACACAAGGTAATACAATACCGACGTCCGAAGGGTCGTCGACGCGGATATTTTTCCGCGGCCCATCCTGCGATTTGAAGGTCCCCGGAGCATGATGAAGAAGCACGCGACCAAGACTGTGGGCCGCGCAACGCCGTCGACGGCCAAGGCGAAGGCCCGCGCGGCCTTTAGCGTCGGCCAGCTCGTCGATGTGGCACAAGAGACCGTCGGCAAGTGGAAGCGCGGCAAGATCATGTCGCTGCGCCAAGGCGCGCCCACAACGAGCGCTAGCAAGCGCCGCCCCGAGAACACGAGCCTCCAGTACGATATTGCCTACGAGAACGGACAAATTGAGTGCGACATCGACGCCGACCGCCTTCGACCGATGGCAAAAGAGCCCGCATCGTTGTACCAGGCGCCACCGACAACGTCGCCGACGTCGCTCTCGCGCCCCAAAGCCACGCCGTCGTCGTCATCGACGGCCACAAAGCGTACGTCACTCGAAGGGTACGGCTCGCACGACGAGACCGAGTCGGGGCCGCCGCCGATGGTGCTACGCACCGAAGAGCAGCTCCTGGGCCATCAGTCGCAGATCCAAATCGTGCTCGACAACCTCTTTTCGATCCACGCCGACGTGCACTCTGTGGTAGCCCTATTCGATGCATTCTTGGACAATGTACGAGCCAAAAGGGTAGAAAAAGGCGCTCTCGACCTTGCTCAAGCTCCTGCGCACGGCGCCGCAAGTGACGGCCGACTACTTCCACTTCAAAGCCGGCGAGACGATTCTGTTGCATATTATTCGGTCCCATAGTCTCTACTCTGTGTTGCAGTGCTACGGCTTTGTGCTCTTGCGCAAAATGTGCCACCTTTCGTTCGAGAGCTGCCACGTCTTTGTACAGAACGGTGCGGTGGCCGCGATTGCCGGTGCCCTTACGTCTTTTCCCGACGACCCGATTGTTCAGGTAGAGACTCGATATACGATATAGCGATAGGACGACTCACATGTGGGCATAGGCATCGGGTTGCGGGGCACTCGCAGCATTGGGCCAGCTCAATGTCAACTCGGTCGCGATCATGCTCGAACACAACATCGTCCCGTTGGTCACAAAAGCGATTTTAAGCCACTTGGAGATCAACGCCAATACGCGCCAAGTCCAGTTTTACGCTTGCGAAGGTGGCTCGTGCCGCTTGTGTGTGTGTCTCTAGCTGACGTTGGCCTAGTGCTCCTCGAACTCTGTGACCGGGGTGGGGCGCGGGCGGCGGCGGCCATCGTCGAGCTTCAGGGAGACGACGGCGGCCTGCTCAAGGCTCTTGTACAAGTGCTGCGCAAGAGCCTCAAGCTCGACGACAAGAAGGTGTCGTGCGCCATCTGCTCCCTCGTGCTCTGGTAGGACATCCCATTTTTGAGGATATTGAAAGTGGCGTCGTATAGCCTCCTCTCGATGAACAAGGCGACGGCGCAGCTCTTGCGCCAAACGGACGCGATCTCGGACCTCTCGATTGTCATGGCCAAGTACCCGTCGCACGAAGGCATCCTCAAGTACTCGGTGCTCGCGACGCGAGAGCTCGCGATTGCTAGTATTCAGAGCCCGAGCAACCGTGTACGACAGACGGCGCGCGTCATCCTGGACGACGACAAGAAGGCGTCAACAGCGACGCCCAAGTCGAGAAAGCCAATCAAGACACCGACACCGACGGCCAAGGGCCGAGCGACGGCGCGCAGTGTCCCAAAGAAAGACAGGAACGTCGTCACCCGCGAGAAGAAGCTGCTTGAGACGTATGGGTTTGACCCGGCATCGACACCACTGGGACGCAAGGTGAAGCCGTCGACGGCGGCCTCGGCACTGGCTCCGCCAACCGCAAAAGCAGCGTTTGCAGCACCGACCGTGGTGACTTCGACGCCGTTGCCGTCGGATCCAGATATCTTATTGACACGGCCGCACTCGTCGTCGAAGCTCCAGCCGCTTGTGTTTGATACCTTGCCAACAGCGCGCCCGCAAACGACAACACCGACGAGTGGAGCCAAGTGGAGCGATAAATTGACTCCTCGCGTGCCCCCGGCGGAGCTCAAGACGCTTGCATCCGAGCTCTTTCAGCCCAAAGAGGACGACGGACCACGCCCGTCGTCTTCGGATGCGTCGGCGCTCAACCGCATTAGTTTTGCAGACAAGTTGCACCGGATGATCGAGAAGGCCGAGACGTCGCTGGGGACGACCGCACAAGTTTTGCCGCCGGCCACGACGCCTCGACCCATCGAATCGAGCCGTCCGACAGAGTCGGTTCTGCCGCCGGCGACGACGCCCTGGCCAATGCCCGTTTCCGAGGTGCGACCCGTCACACCAGCATCCACATTGCCCGAGATCGTCTTTGGCGAGCGCGGCATCTTTACACCGATTGCCAATAAGCAGCCCGTCATCGAGCTCTTCCCCGTTGGCACCAAGGTGCGTGTCCGCTTCAACGGCGGCGCGCGCTACTATCCTGGCGTCATTGCCGCAACGTATCCGGACCAACGCTGCTACGACATCGACTACAACGACGGCGAGCAAGAGTCGAAGGTTCCTATCGACTGGATACGCCTGCAGCCGACCGCGGGCCTAGTGGCGGCGCTGTCGCCGGTCAAGGTCCGTCGTATTTTTCACGAAGGCGACTGCGTCGAGGCGCGGCCGCCGGGCAAAACGGCCTTTTACCCTGCGCGTGTGGTGCACGCCACGTCCAAGTTTGGGGCGACGGGGTACGTCTACGACATCGCGTACGATAGCGGCGAAGCCGCGAGCGACGTGCCTCAAGAATGCCTTCGCCCGATGGTGCTTCCCGAGTGGGTCTTCTCGCTCGGACAGACAGTCGAGGCCCGCTACAAAGGTCGGTCCAAGTACTACCGCGGTACCGTCAACAAGCTTCGCCTCACGGGGCACTATGACATTCTCTACGACGATGGCGAGCAAGAAGTCAACATCCATCGGGACTACATTCGTGCCGTCGTTGTGCTCGAGTCGTATGAAGACGGCGACGCTGTCGAGGCCCAAGCGGAAGGCCTGCAAGAGTATGCACCTGGAGTCGTCACTCGCTGCCGCCTCGATGGCTCCTACGACGTCCGTTTTCTTGCTGGCAACGAAGAGACGTTCATTGGGCCGGAGCGGATCCGCCGACGGAAAGGCGGGCCGCTCGTGCAAGACGTAGGCGACGATCCTGGACCAGTGCCCGTCGAGCTGGAGAGGCCGCCCCCCGAGACCGTCGTTTCGCCGCGAGCTCTCAAAGCATCGGCGGTAACCCCCCTCGTACCGCTGCTGCGTCCGCCAACACCCCGCGTTGAGAAGAGCACGGATCAAGACGCACCCTTGTCGCCCACAACACACACAGACGATGGTGCGCTTCCGACGCCACCCGAGCCATCGCATCTGTCGGTGGTGGCATCTCCATCGCCCGAGCCGTCACCGACCAAGCAAGACGATGCCCGAAGCGAATCACCAAGAAAGGCGGTAGCGACCTTCGAGCGCCACCAACGGGTCCAGGTGCGCGTGAACGGGTCCGTGCAAGTAGAGACGGGCGTCGTCCTGCGTTGCCGCCTCAACGGCACATACGACATTGAGTTTGACACGGGGGAGAAGGAAATCGGTGTACCCCCCGATCAGATCGAACCGATGACGTGGCCGCCCCAAGAGTACATTCCGCTGTGGCATCTCGGCGACATCATTGAGGCGCGGTGTCGCGGACGGACGCGGTATATCCCCGGTGTCATTGCGCAAGTGCATGTCGAGCCAACGTCGGCGCGCTACGACGTTCACTTTGAGAACGGTGTTGTTCAAGAACACTTGGACGAAGACAGCATCCATTTACTGCGGCGGTGTCCGGATGTCACGGCTGTGTTTGCGGCCAACGCTCGGGTAGCTATGGACGGCCAAGATGGCGTCATTGCGCGTTGCTTGACCAACGGGTGCTACGACGTTTTGCTCGACGTTGGCACCGAAGTCACGATGGTTCCGTTCCAATACCTGACGCCATCGACGGCGCCGTTGCCAACACCAAGTGCCCTTGAGGCAGCGCAAGAAGCACACCCGGTGCTTCCATCCGACGATGCATCGGCAGACGCGCCATTTTTGATTTCTGAGACTGCAGCGACGGTAGTGGTCGACCCCTCGCCCAAAACCGCGGATGCGGCACCGGATGGCGATGTGTCAGATGCATCACGGGTCGAGGGTCGCGAAGCCGTCGAGCCTGAGGTTACTGTCGCTGACGTCAACATGCCAGAAAAAGTACCCATTTTGAGCGACACTGTCGACCCAAGCAGCTTGTTTGCCTCTGAATCGAACGACGAGGTCGCCGACTACTCGTCGACGAGCGTTGCTGGGGACGATGAGCCAATCTTGGTACCAGAAGTCGTGACTGCCATGTCCGGGCCCGCCGTGACCGACAGCGCTGAAGCGGAGCCAAACGAAGCTCCATGCACTCTGGATATGGCGCACGAGCTCAGCGCCTCTTTAACCTCGAGCGTCTTGAGTGCTGCAGTGCTTGGAGTGGGCAGCCCTGGTGCCCATGATGACGTGGCCGATGAGATTTCCGAAACGGCTCGCGATGCGGACGGCGCAGCCGCCAGCACCGTGACCTCGTCGGCAACTGCAGTCGTTGCAAATGCAATTGGCACGGCCGTGAGCGATATTACCGCAGAAGCACTACGCAGCAGTCTTGTGGAGACAACGGCAGCCCCGTGCGATGTCTCAGACAAATCGACGCGCCTTTTTGACGACGTTATCGCGGACGCAAAGGACGTGGTATATCTGCATGACGACGCAACGTCTGTTTCCAACGATCACAACGCGGATGAGAAGCCAACCTTACTCGAGGCCGACGCCAAGGACTCTACCGATGTTTGGACATCAAACCAGATGGACGACGTTGGCGAAGCTGTCCGCATTTCGGCAACCGCCGTTGCCGTCGGTGCCATTGCGATTGGCGCGGCCGTTCATGCGTGTGCCGTCGAGCGACCACACGATGATGTCGCCGTCGCACGGGGCCAAGCCACGGCCCACTGGGCGTCAGACACCTACGACGTTGCGTCCGATTCCAACGAAGCGGTTACGTCCTCGAAGAGCATTGATGCGCCTGAGACCAAGGATGCGGACTTGGATCCAGTGCACGTGAACGCGAACGCGATCGAGGGCAGTGTCGACGCTTCCGGCGATGGTCCACTCTCAGAACTCGACATGGACGTCTGCTGCCCGAGTGCGACGGAGGAGGCACCGGTGTTGGCACTCAGCGATGACCCGTTTGCTCTGGCAATGGCTATCAATGCTGTCGCCGAAACGACCTGCAACGACGTCTTACAAACGGCCACGACACACGTACTCGACTCGTGGACGCCGGCACCGCAAGACGCTGTTGCTGCCGACGTGAACACCGACGACTATGATTTTTACGCCGCCGGCGACGAGTGTGCGCCGCCCGAACACGCGACCAGCGACGAGTCGGCGCCGCAAGAGCTCGTTGCCGCCGTCGCTAGCACAGAGGACTTTGACTTTTATGCAACCAGCGACGAGTGTGCACCTCCCGAAATGGAAGAAACCGCGTCGGCGTTTGAAGACGAGGCGGCGTCGACCGAAATGCAAAAGAACGATGTGGACTTGGACCATGCCACACCGACGTCAGCGCGGGATGGCGCGAGCGATCACGTGGTGTCGCTCGAGCACGAAGCACCTGAAGGCAACGCCACCGACATCGCGCTCGCATTGGAGGAAGAAGCGCTGCGTGCGGCCACCGTGCATGATCTGAGCGTTGTGGTGACGACCGGTATGGTCGCTTTGGCCGTCGCTACGGCAACTTGCGCATCGACTTCAAGCACGGCATCAACGGTAGCATTGCGGACTGTAGCGACAGACGACCAGCCAAGCGCCGACGAAACCCTGTTGGCCTCGGGCAACGTGCCAGACGACGCCGTCGCTCGCCAGCAAGAAGCGGCCGCCATCGTTCCCCACGAGCTTTGCGCGGCAGTCGCGTCGGACGCTGTCGCTACCGCTTTGCGCACGATGGCGTCTTCAACGCCGCTAGAGACGACGGAGTCGTGTTTTGTGGTCGAGACGGAAAGAACCGCCCGCATTGACCACCGGAGCGACGGTACACCCGAGACGCTTCACGCAACGGCGGCCGCAGCTGTGAACGACGCCATTCACGGCGCTGTGGATATTCTTACAGCCCAGATGCATCCCAACGATGACCCGCCCACTGGCGCCAGCAAGGACAAACCCGAGTCGACGAACGAGGATGGTCACAAGTCGATGCTACCAGCCGACAACCCCAAATCTACGAAAACCAGTCCCCGGGAGACTTTGACTTTAATCGCCAGGACCGACTCTGCGCAAGTGCTGCAAGGAGACCACGAGACGGCGAGCAGCAGCCAAAGCGCGGCCGCTCTTGAGCCTACGACGGTCGTCAATGTCCCAGACAACACACTTCGGACTCTGGCAACAGCAGTTGTCTCGGAAGCGATCCAAGCGGCCTCAGAGTCGAAAGACCTCGTCCGTCTTCTCGACGACGCCGCTTACATCAACGATATCAAGCCAACCGATGCCAGCGACTCGCCTCGGACTATTGATGACGCAGTCTTTGAAGCCAAACCCACTGCCACGTCTTCGCGCGACGACTTGTTTGACAAAGTTCAACCGTACGAAGCTGACGAATCCAAGTCGAGCTCGCTCGATGCTCTGCACGCGTTGGCAGCTACAGTTACCGTCACAGCAATCGAAGCTGCTACCAAAGCAACATTGTGGGACGACGCGAAAGCAAACGTCGAAACGGCGCCTCTAACCTTTGACCAAGCTACTGCGGCTGGCGACGAGTCGCTGGACCATGGTGCGAAGGACGCAGTCGAGACTGCTAATGCCAAGGACGTCGACGACGCTGACACCAAAGGTGCACCGGACGACGACAAGTCGACGTGTGGCGCCAGCACATCTCGTGAAATTTTGCACAAGTCGGCGACGGACATGGTGGCAGATACAATCTCTGTCGCCATGAACTGGCGTACGGACGAGCTTCAGCGCGCCGAGCTCAAAATGCAGTCGCACGACCAGCTGGAGCACGAAGCAAAGATCTCTGACGACGCAAAGTCGCCGCGTGTCGACCACCAAGGTGGTACGACCATGTCCACCGAGGCGAAGGAGGCTGAGGCCACAAGCAACACATCGGAAGTTGCCATTGAAGACAGCGACTCTGTGGGAGAAAACGACTCGGTGCACGAGACGACCCCGTCAATTGTCATGGCTCGAGCAATCAACTCGGTCGCTGAGACGACGTGCAGCCATGCGTTTCAGTCGGCCACAACACATGTTGCCGAGAGGCAAACCCTGGTACACGAAGAAGCCTTCAACCTCGAGTTACGACCTCAAAATGTGGCGAGCTGCCGACACGACGCGCCTCACGCTGCAGCCAGCGTCCTTGCAGTGCAGCTAGCATCATCTGGTTCCGAACCCGACGAGACCACGTGCGAAGTCATTACAGTGGTTGCAAGCACGGTCGTGGCGAATGCAGTCGACGAAGGGCTCCAGCGGTCGCGTCCAACGACAGCAAGCGGCGCGCACAAAACGATACGGGATCTTGACGACTCGACAGAGGCATGGAGCCTCCCAGACTCTGTCGTCCCTGCAGCTGACGTGCCCCCGATTCTGGACATTGCACCTCTTCCACTGCACAAGCTCGAATGTGCGCGCAGTGCGTCGACTATCGCCGTCGACTCGCTGCTTCAAGAAGGAATCGCTCGCGCTAGCGCAGTCTTTGCAGCAAGTTCCGAGCTGCCTCCAAGTAGCAGTGATGCACCGATCAAACACGCGCATATCGAGCCAAGTACGATTCCCGCAGCACCGTCCGACGAGAGCAGCAGCGTGGCGATCAAAGCCGCCGATGCCTCGAAAGCGTTTGTACCAGAAAAGGCTCTGGACGATCTGCTGCTTGGTTTGCCCAAGGCCGACGCGAAAGCAGCCAGCGACAATAAGGACAAGCGCACGAGCTACTTGAGCCAAGAGCGCTTCGACAACCAATCAGAGAGCGGGCAGCTCGACGTCCCACCCGTCCGCGTCATGCTGAGCCACACTGTGGACAGCTTTGTACACGATGGCGTTGAGCGCGCAATGCAGACGATGGTCAATTCCAGCGATGAGAGTCCAACGAAGAACAATCTCGACGCGAGTAAAGAAGCGCCGCGGCGGGTCCAGGAGCCTGAGGATCGACCCTCAGTGGACGATGCGACGTTGCGCATGGACCACGCATCCGAGTCTCCAAGAGAGAACCAAGACGAACCTACCGAGTCTTCAGCACCACCCAGCTCTTTCTCTACCTCGGTGTCCACTGTCGACAGCTTTGCCGACCTTGTCGGCTCGACGGTAGACTCCATTCTTGCCCAAGCCGTGACACGCCATGCGTCTTCAAACCTCATACCACCGTTGGCACTACCCGTATCCCAGCAACACGCCAACGCCGCCTCGTACAACCCACATAGCAGCTTTATCGACACCGTCAGTGCAATCACCAACCCCGATCTCGACTCTTCGACATTTGATATACAGTCGACATGCGCCACAGACTCCGAGACCGCTCGCTTTGAGTTCGACGTACCCGATTTCGACATTCCCGCGGCCAGCATGGAGTCGGAAGAGCCCATCCCGGTGGTCGAGCAAGTCGAAGACAACGAATATGCGCTCGCTGACTTTGATGCGGCGGCCG